GCCAAATAGTAGTGACCAACAGTGCCTGTGATGTGTAAATTTTGATGCAAGACAACTGGCTCACCAGAATATGTTAAAAACTTCACATGAACCGATGAATTCTTGATAAAATACTCAATTCCATCCGTCGCTCTATTACTGGGTTTGAACTTCTCTTCTTTATCACTGTCATTTTTGTCATCATCCGAATCTTCATCATCCTCATGCGCAGAGCTTCCTTCACAGTAGAATCCCAAAACCTCCATCAATCCATTCTTGAAATAATAGTTATGAGCATTCAATACATGACAATTTATCTTGGCCAATGTTTCTTCATTATCGTGGACCATCAAGTCGTGTTCAAATTCCACACCATCCATAATATATAAATTCCGTAAAAAACCATCCAGTCTATACAAAATTGCTTCTTTGTCATTTTGCTTTATGATCTTAGAATAATGCTGATGAATATTGTGTAGATAACTCTTCTTCGGAAGGAAATTCTTTGCCTCATATAATTGTTTGCATGATGAGAGAAAGTTTACTTGTGTTGTGGGAGATGTTACAAAGCTGAGAATTGTGTCGAGTATTGATGATAGTGATGAAGAATTGAAAAGTTGTTTTGGTTGTGTAATTTTTCTCTTCTTGTTGGATTCAAATTCCTCCTCACTTGTTGAATCATCAAAATCCTCAACTAGACGTTTTAACATTTTTTCAATATTTTCCTGCATTTAAATCTTCATGAACACAATTGAAAGAAATAATAAATTAATAATGTGTGATTTCATGAAATATTTTGGAAAGTACTGCAGACATTATCTACCACTCAGAATCTCCGATATTTAAATATCATCAATTATTTTAATAATCAGTTGGCAATAGAATCACCAACTCGGAAATTGTTAAAGTTTTCCTAATTATCATATGAATCTGGCACTGATGATGATTTTAGTGAAAACATTGAATTTCACTTAAATATTACTATTTTGTGGAAATAACAATGGTGGTTAGTTGTTCCGATGATGTACCAACTTGAATTTTTCTGTTAAATTCCAAAAATTCCTATTATTACTATTATTCAATATTTTCAAAAATCCCAAAAGTATATTGTAGTGAAACATCCTTCTGCAATCTTGATTTATCTGTCTTTGCTTATACATGAAGTTCACACAGGAGAGTTTAAATAAGGTTAAGTCTATAAAGTTCCACAGAAGGGGCATTGAAATTTGTCATTGACAGAGTGTGAAGTTCTCACATGATTGGTCTAGCTTTGGATTGAGACTGAACTTGATTAATTAAGGCCCTGCAACAATGATAAAGAAGTGCTAATCGATCCTCAGAACCATTTTCACACTGCATAAAATCCAAAGAGACACCATGGTCAAAATATTTGGTACAGAAGGTTTGGCAATGTTCTTCAAATGACACATTAGTACCTCTGACTGAGATGTGTTTCATTGCAGCAGCCAAAACTTCCAATATTTTCCTGTCTGATTGGTATCCTCTATCTATTATTTTAAAGCACAAATCTTCGATTATTTCATCATTTAACAGTTGCTGTTTGAAATATTTGTCAACCATTTCTAAAGATTCAAGAAATTCTGAAGAGTCATAAAATATACTTCCAAAATAGGATATGACTTTTTTCTGATAGAAAACAATATCCTCTTCCCTTTTCATATCCACAGGCAACTTATCCAAATCAAATGTTCCATATTCATTGTAAAAATCCTTAAAATAGTGGTTAAATGAGCGATTATAGCACACAACAAAGAACGATCTCACAAAGTGATAAGGATGCTCTCCTATCATATAAATTTCATAGGGATCAAAATCCTTCAATACTCTTATAAATTTCATTGGATTGGTATTGACATTGTGGTAAATGCGTGTGTGTACAAGTCTCTTAATATCATTAACATCTATCATTTCATGATTGTACATTTCTTTAAGCAAATCATATTCATTCTCATTGTTTAGTAAATTTACATCTAATAGGTTAATCTTTTTAACTCTTACAATCTCACAATACTTTTTAAGATATTCAAAATTTGGAGGTACATTCAATAATATCAATCTGTTGGTATATCCAATTAGGTTCAAACTATAATCAAATATTATCTCAGACATGCCAGGATATAATATTTCCATACAATCAAACCAGCATTCAAGTCCTAAAAGAGATGGATAAGGAAGTTTAAACATTGATTGAGATGGTAGTGATATTTTCGATGGATCACTTGCTTTTTTCACATTTCCATCGATTGAAATGTATTCCTTGATAAATTTCAGTAGATTTTCATTCGTTCTATATTTACAAATATACTCTAACAATTCAGAATCATCAAGTATTGGTTTAAAATTTCTCATAAACTCAATTATTGAATCCGTTATTGTTAGATTGCAAAGATTCAATTTAAACATTGATTTTGAAAATTGTGTCCAATATTCCTTAGCCATCAAACCTTCCATTACCCTTCCATATTTTGTAAATTTCTTGGCTTTTGACAAGAAATATTGAGCTATTACTCCAGTATGTGTGTAATCAACAATACTATGCTGAAAATCAGTATTCATTTCTTGCAAAGCCTTATTCATCATGATTGAAAAAATAGAATTCAATGCTAATGGTATCAACATTTTGAATCGAGTTCCAAAAATTACTGATCTTTCCTCCACATTCTTCATATATTTCACAAATGAATGCTCGTTCACCTTTTCATTCAAAATATGTACAGTGTGAAACTTTCTCAAATTATCAGAAACTGTTTTGTAAATTTTGTATTGAACAGATTTTTTAGAGAAGGTTTCCAGCAATTCTTGACAATTACGAATCTTGAATAATAACCAATTGGATAAGAGTGTTTTCCAGATTATTTCAAACCGATCGAGTTGATACCATCCCTTGCAGACTAACATACAGGACATGCCATCTCTGATGTCCAAATGTTCCATCACGTGCCTGAGTGTGTGTCGGGATGAATTTCATGTTGAGCCATTTTTTTTGTAATTGAAAAAGTTTAGAATCGGCAGTTTCGAACTGCTCCATTTCCACCTCTCTGATTATTCTTATTATTTCATTGTCCAAGAATTACTACTGTACATCTTTTGTTTTTCAGTTCCGATCTAAATTGATGAGAAGATATGATAGGTGAGAATTTCCTTTTAATTTTTTAATTGAAATTAAATAAATTAAAAAAATGTCTCAACAACCGTCAATGAATCACACAACTTGGTTTGATCAAGATTTGCTGTTGGCCAATATATTTCTCTATTTACATCCGTATGAATTATTTGATAATTCTAAATTATCTTCATGTAGAAATGTTTGTAGATCATGGAATGGTTTAATTTGTGGTGAAGAATTTTGTAAATTTTATTTTGAAAACTCGTTTTGTTGTTATTCGTCCGAACCTTTTATTAATCAGTTAAATTGTAATCAATTGTTTGATACTTTAGATGATGCACAATTTAATTGTTTTATGGATGAGGATGATGATATTCAAGAGGTAAAGCCTATTAATACGTTAACAATTCAAGAATCTATTAAACAATTTGAACATGTGGCAATTACTAAAATTGGATATGAATTCAATAATTTAAATTGGAAAAATAATTTTTACAAACGATTTCTAACACTAATTGCATATTTAAAAGATATTGATTCTGCAATTTGGAGTGTAACTGAATCATTATTAAAACCATTAGATGATTCAAAAGTATTTAAATTAAATAATTTATTGAAAAAGTGGAAACTATCAAAATTATTATCCAGTAATATATTTGAAATCAATGAAAAGACAATGTTATTTTTTAATGATGATGGAATACCATATGTATTAAGATCCATTCGTAAAAGATTAATTCTTGACAACATTGAGATTATGAACAATATTAAATTTGGATTTGACAAGGAAAGGATCACTAAAGTCCTTCCACAACTTGACAAAAAACAAGACCAACAAGTGTTGTGTGATGTAATGTGTGGATTATTTCCAAAATTAGTAGAAAAAAAGAAGAAACTACTAATTAAAAGGCCACTAACAGAATTCATGATGTTTGTCAGGAGTGAAAGAGAAAAAATTAAACAAGAAAATCCTACAATAACTAATATGGATATTATTAAAAAAATGGCACACATTTGGAAAGAAATGGATGATAATGAAAAGCAAATTTATGTTGAACAAGCAATTCAAGAAAAATTGAAATATCAAAAACAAAAAGAAGAATTCATTTATTGTATTAGTGGATTAGATGAAAATGTTAGTGAATAAGAGGATGGCAAGAATTAACATTATTGAGGGACCAATAAATAGTAATTTTTATTGGTGAATGTGTTGTTATGGCTGGTGGAAAGTAACCAAAAGGAGAACTCTCCATGTTGGCTTCGCAAGGTTGTATTAATACCTATTTAGGGTGATGAAATCATTCTTTCAAAATCAAGACCATATGGATTCAGAGATTGTGGATAATGACAAGAAAGCAAGTCTAAACTCTCAAAATACAACAATTCTCTTATTGTCATAATCTGAAAGAAATATTTTCCCTCCTTTTCTGTCAATCGCCAATCCTAATGGTTGACTAAAATGAATATTCTCTGCGTCTTCAATTGTATGTATCAATTTCCATTCATTTTCGTTCATTTCATCATAAATAAAACATGTATTATGAAAAAGTTCAGCAACAAGCATTCTTTTTGGATTGATGAAAACAATATCCGTCACTGTTTTGATTTTTTCAAGCTTCAACTCTTTAATGACCTTTCCATTCACAGTATCTATTATATCCATAGCTCCTTGGGAAGCAATAAATCTGAATAATTGTTTCTGATTTCCAATTATTCTAATTGCCATTCCGTACAAATGATTTCTTTCAATTTTTCAAATACAATCAGCACTTGATCCTAATCTCATTAAATCCTTCACTCTATATTTAAAAGTATACATATCCTCTCCAAAATAAATAGCATCATTTTGTTCATGATCAAAATTCTCTTCAATTAACAAGCCAGTCACCCCTCCTTCAACAAAAAAGGCTCCTAAATATTCATGATTAGTCAAATCAAAAAATTTCACTTCAGAATTTGAATCATCAGAGATTGACACAAACAATTATGTGAATGAGAAACCTTGGCATGGGAAGGATAGTGAAATTTATGTTCGATCGACATGATATTATTAATCTCTTCAAACTTCAAAATGGTACACGATTCCGATAACCTCTCATATGAATTTTAAATTTGTCGAACAGGGCATCGTGCTGCTGTAGGGGAAGGATTGTGATCAATGAGAGAAATGATCACACAACAACACTCTGAATCATCGTTTTGCATTTTTTTTATTTAAATTTGCTTATTGTAAAGGCACTAATACAAACTTCTTTTCAGAATGTTGAATGTTACTAGCTAGTCAAAGTTTCAAGCATTACATATGCAACACTCATAAACTTAGCAACAAAATTTTGAGATGATGCCAAACTTGAGAATGTTGGTAAAAAGATAAAAGACTACAGCACCACAGGTTCCCAAGTTGTCTCCAACCTCAGTACTGATGTGGCTCGACGATAAAAGACTACAGCACCACAGGTTGCTTAACTTCTCAAATCGGACGGGATGAGGTGCATTCATCGTGATATGGCCGTAGCCATTTATAACCTTAAATAGTGAAATATGAATCAGTTCAACAATTGAAATTGATAACTTTTTGAAATTTAATATATGGGAGCTTCTATATGAAACTAAATAACAAACCCATCACGTACCCTGTTGACAGTGATTAAACGCTTGGCAGTGTATTTTTCTTGTAATTTAGCAAAAGATGTTTGCAACGTTTTGTAATAAAATAATACGATAAGACAAGATAGTATAAATAAAATATTTTTATCATGAATGATATCCCGTGTAGTCCAATGGCTAGGATACCTGGCTTTCACCCAGGAGGTCCGGGTTCAATGGGAGGATATTTTTGTTTTTCAACACGCAAAATCAAATAATAAAATGTTCATTTATTAAAATTATCCTAGACCTTCATTTTGGGTAAAATGCTTAGCTCCTTTTCCAATTGTTTCTCATATGATGCTTGGAAACGAGTGTAATTATCCAACATGTTGTGTTCACAAGCTGTTTGAATTCTATCAAATATTTCAGGAGTGATGGCAAAGAGGAAACTCATATCTTGTGGATTTGTGGAAGTTTGCTTTGGAGAAATATTCAATTTTGGAGAAGGTGAAACATTTCCATTTTTAGAAGCAAAATTAATGGTACTGTCTTTTAGGGATTTGAAGATTTTCTCAATTTCTGGAATTCCAAAATCCTTTCTTGAAATGTTCAATTCAAGAGGAGCTCCAATTCGAATATAAGTATTACAAATATTGTAAAATAATTCTCTTCTTTGTTTTTCTGATTTGATTGTTTTGAATTTCTCAATGGCATTCCACATCATGACATCTTCACATGCAAAACATTTTTCTGAGAATTTCAGAAAGAGATTATTCCACTTTTCATTCAGTAAAATCTTTCGAATGCTACTTTCAGAAGGTTTCGAATGTTGAAGTTTAGAATCAACTGATGGAGTGCTTTCTGTATGTTGTTTCTTGTCAGATTTGAATCTTTGAAGGAAGAATACAGGATACGTGAATGAAATTAATGTATCCCACATATTTCCAATTAAAATTGTAATCGTCCATGGGAAATAATAATCAATACTTTACAAAATATTACAATTATTATTCTAATCTCAGATATATATTACTTACTAGGTTGTAAAAATAGTGAATAAAGAAGGCACAGCATACAATACAATAAAAAAAACCCATCCAAATATCACAACAATAACCTCAATCTTAATATGCCAAACATCTCTCTTGGTAAAGAATGAAAACAATAACAGTAAAACTCCAATAAATCCATAAAAGGCAAAATAACTAATGAAAATATTTTGATTGTAAGATCCAGTTCCACATCCAGATGGTGAAAATAAATAACTATCAATTGTAAAGCTATTTCTCGAATTGCTTGATGCACCTCCAGTATTTTGAAAATTGAAATAGTCAATTGTGCCAATAATTAGGAAAATTAAAATGTGTAGAGCTAGTAATAATCCATAATAAATGAAAATAAATTTGGAGCTCACTAGAAATCTCATAATGGAAATTAATTTGCCTCTTTCGAATGATTCTAATAGAGTTTCTTTTCTGAAAATCATTTCGTCTTCAAGTGGTTTGTCAGTTGTGATATCTTTTGGTTCGATTGTGAATTGTGACATAATGCTTGAAGTTCTGCCAACTGTCAATGCTGACAATGAGGTTCTATTGGTAGCTTTCAATAATCCAGATGAGCTAGAAACACTGCTTGTTTCTGAATGAACTTTCAATTCTTTCATTTCAGTGTCAGTTGTCAATGGGTTGTTGGCAGATGGAGGAGTATTATTCAATGTTTCCAATATATCCAAACTCACATTTGCATCCATAAGTGGTTTCATATTTTCTGATGATGTTGTTGCATGCAAGTCATATTGTCTCTTTCCAATCCTCACTTTCAATTCGTTCAGTTTGGTCAATACCAACAATCTAATACATCTCAATATGACAGTATTCGAAAGTGCAGGCACAGCCAAATAATAGATTAGTGAAAATATGAAACATGGATAAATCTTTCGTCCAATTAACACTCTAGTCATTAATACGAAAGTATAGGTCCATCCAATAATTGCTCCCATGACCATCAATGCTGGATTCCTGGCAACCTGCAAATAATTCACAACTTGTTTGTGTTCCTTTTGGAGAATATGCAACATTCTCAATTTATAAACTAAACCTCCAACCGAAACTAATAACAAACATGTGTGAATAAAGAGGATAATTGCTGAAATAACAACAGCTGATGTGGTATCATCACACAATCCCTTCTCACTCTTGTTTCCTTGTGAAAGGAGGAGTGGATGACAAACTGTGCTGTCATTATACATGTTGGTAGAGTTGACTATTAGTGAGGTGTTGATATTGAGCGTTGTGTGGATGTTGAAAATGGGCACATGCATGTTGGTGACATGGAACGTCAACGTGGATAAAAATCCATCAAACATGCCATTTGTCTCTTCGGAATGAGCATTCAAATCCATTTTCAAGTTGGCCAATTGAAAAAGGTGATATGAGTTGATTAGTTTTTTTTTCTTCTTTAAAATTGTTATGGTTCACCATTGAGCGACTTTGTCCTCTCAATGAAAGTGAACCTTGATTGTGAAATCTTGATAAAATTTATTTGGGAATCTGATTTCTAATTTGTGCTATTCCATTAGTGGCCCTGAAAAACTATTCGAAAGAAGACTATTAGTTGTAGATTGGTAGAGTTGAATGTTGGTTGTTTATTACACTTTAAGCTTGGCTACGATATCCAATTCCTTTTCCAATTGTTTCTCATACGATGCTTGGAAACGAGTATAATTATCCAACATGTTGTGTTCACAAGCAGTTTGAATCTTGTTGAATATTTCAGATGTTATTGAGAATAACAAATTATTTGGGTCAACCTTTGCATTGTTATTCGAAACCTTTGGAGAAACATTTCCATTCTTTGAGGCAAAATTAATGTTACTCTCCTTTAATGCATGATAAATGTCCATAATTTCTGGAATTCCAAAATCCTTTCTTGAAATGTTTAATTCAAGAGGAGCTCCAATTCGAATATATGTATTACAAATATTGTAAAATAATTCTCTTCTTTGTTTTTCTGATTTGATTGCTTTGAATTTCTCAATGGCATTCCACATCATGACATCTTCACATGAGAAGGATTTCTCTGCGAATTTCAGAAAGAGATTATTCCACTTTTCATTCAGTAAAATCTTTCGAATACTACTCTCACCAGAAATATTTACACTGGAAACTGAAGGATTGGTCGAGAGAGCTGGTTCAATGGAATTACCCTCTGACTTGTTTGATTTGAATCTTTGAAGCACAAAAACTGGATAACTGAATGAAATGAGTGTATCCCACATGCATCCAATTAAAATTGTAATTGTCCATGGGAAATAATAATCAACACTTTAAAATGTTAAGTTATCAAAACTTAATGATACCTACTATGTGGTAATAATTGTAAATAAGGAAGGAATACTAAAAGCAAGAACAATAGCAGCCCAAAACAAGTTAATAATCACAACTTCAATCTTAATATTCCACACGTCTCTCTTTGCAAAAAAGGCAATTATGGATAGTAAAATTCCAATTAATCCATAAAAGCAAAAGTAGCTAATGAATATATATTGATTGTAAGCTCCAACTCCACATCCAGATGGTGAAAATAAATAACTATCAATTGTAAAACTATTTCTCTTTTGATTTGTTTTTACAGAAGTATCATTTTGATAATTGAAATAGTCAATAATGGCAATGATAAAGTAAATGCTCAAGTGAAATCCAATGACCACAACATAGCTCAATAAAACAAATTTGGAGCTCACGAGAAATCTCATGATGGAAAGTAATTTTCCTCTTTCGAATGATTCTAATAGAGTTTCCTTTCTGAAAATCATTTCCTCTTCCACATTATTTTCATCATCATCTGCATTACTATCCTTAGGTTCAATTACAAATTGTGAGAGAATACCTGAAGTTCTGCCAACTGTTAATGCTGACAAATTTGTACTGTTCTGATTTCCAGCTAAACTACTATTCGAAATGGATAAACTATCAAGAGACGTAACTGTTTCCAATTCCTTTTCCACTTGATTTTGTGAAATATTCGTGTTTTCCTCAATCATGGATTTCATATTGTCCGATGATGTTGTTGCATGCAAATAATATTGTCTCCTTCCAATCCTCACTTTCAATTCGTTCAGTTTCGTCAATATCAACAATCGAATACATCTCATAATAATAGTATTCGAAAGTGCAGGAATAGCAATAAAATAGATTAGTGAAAATATGAAACATGGATAAACCTTTCGTCCAATTAACACTCTCCCCATCAACATGAACGTATAAGACCATCCAATCAGTGCTCCAATTACCATTAATAATGGATTCCTTGCAACCTGCAAATAATTCACAACTTGTTTTTGTTTCTTCTTTAAAACATGCAACTTTCTCAATTTATAAACTAAACCTCCAACCGAAACCAAAACGAGCATTGTGTGAAGAAACAAAACAATGGCAGAAATTACTGTGGAAGAGGTCATGTCATCACACAATCCCTTCTCACTCCTATTTCCAAGAGCTAATAGGAGAGGATGACACACAGCACTATCATTGTATTTGTTATAGGTATTGTTGTTGTTAATGGTGATGGAATCGTTGGAAAGAGTTTCGAATATGTTGTAGGAAAGAGATGTAATGACATCAGCATGTGGTTGGTGGTGAAAGGACATTTGATGACGTTTTTCGCTGTTGCTATTTCAAATGCGAGCTCACACGCCAAGGTTCAAGTCGTTACGAAACTAAACTAATCTCTCCAAGTTGTGAGTTGTTTTCTTTTTGTTTAGTTTTGCACCACGACATGCAACAATGAACCTGAATGTTGTGGCCGCTACTTTCCAATCATGAAATTGCAAAAGCCACAGATGGAATATCGGAACAGCACACAACGTTTGAAGTTGCGACACAGAGTTGACTGATAACATATTGCCATCACAGCCTAGTGGTGAACCATGTCTAAATAAGGTGGATTTTGGTTCCATTTTGATTAAAGTATTTTAGAAATTATTAGAAAGAAGTGAACCTTGATGGAGGAACTGAGTACAATTTATATTTGCTCTTGTAAACGTTTAGGATTCCGACTGTAGTTTACATTAGAAAAGTATGTGATTAGAAAATAAAGCCGATCACAATTTTCTTTCATCTTTCGCTTTTTGTTTCTCCATTAAGGAAGTAACTAGAACTTCATAATTGGTAAAATTCCCAACTCCTCCAATTATTTCTCATACGATGCTTGGAAACGAGTGTTTCAAATACGATCACTTTTTCAATCTCATCGTTAATGAAAACAAGAATAGAAAACTTCCCAAAGTGATTTTAAAAAAAAACAAAGAAACCTTATAATATGATTAATCTAGAGTGTGAAGTTGCACCTCTCTTGAGAAAGTTCATGTATCTTGCCAATATTATGGTGGCAGGATATGTGGCTTGTTTCGCTCTATTCTTTCCTCAACAGGCACAATCTGAACTCTTCTATGGGAATTCACTTACTGATGATGGAAGTACCATTGCAGTAATGATTGTTGGATGTCATTGGATGGCCATTGTCATCATTTCAATGTTGGGATTGTTCTTTCCATTACAATGTTCCATCGTTTTCGTTCATCAATTGATTTATAAGAGTTTGTACTTGTTGTTGGTTGCCTTGCCTGCCATGTGGATGAAGAGAGAGGTGCCTCAACCCATGACCACACTCTTTGCTATTTGGGTGTTGTTGTTGCCTTTGGTCATTCCATGGCATTACTTGTTTCACAGTGAAGATAATATTTCAGCAAAACCTGTTTCAACAAAACAAGAATAATAAACATAATAAACAAACAAACTGTAGGGCAAAAACCCATTCCTTAATACCAAAAAATGCGCAAGCTTACCCACACTGTATTAAAATCACATTCTTCTGCAGTGATTAATGCTCGCAAAGTGCCCTCTATCATCAAATCAAATAATATTTTGAATGTTTCATGGCATCCATGGAAAGCTTTTCAAACAACAAGTCCTTGGCAAAATCAATCCTTCACACGGGACGGTTCTTCGGTTCTTGGGGGAAAGCCACCAACAGAGACAACAGACAACAAATCCATCATCACCCTAGCATTGAAAGACTTTGACACCTGGTCGGTTGCACAAGTATCTGCTGTGTTGATGTTGAGCAAACAGGAAGGGGGTATCGGTTTGTCCGAGGAGAAGATCAAACCACTCTATGATTCTGCTTTTGATGGACTGGCTCTGAGCTATATTGCAACAGGTATTAAGGGAAATAGATTAGAAGGAAAGAGTGAAATCAGTTGTATCGAACATACCATCAAGACAATTACAAACAGTAAGGACTTTGCTTCAGTGCCGAAAACTACTTGCACAACTGTTGTTGAATGGGTTGCTACCAAGTTGACACCTAAACCATATAGGTTGTGGAACACTCAAGAGTTAGATGATTTTCTTAGCAAACCAAAAGCCGAGGGAGGTGCTGGATTGAGTGATGAGTCCGTGGTCTACCTCCATCGTGCCAAAATCGACAACCTAACACTTGCCCGAATTGTTACTGTCATTAAGGAAGAAAGAATGAAAGGCCTTACAGAAGAAGAATGTATTGAGCTTGCCACAAAGATAATGACAAGCGATAAGGACTTTGCTTTAGTACCAGAATCTACTTGTAAAGCTGTCACTGAGTGGGTTGCTGCCAAGTTGGCTCGAAAGGCTGATGAGAGAGGTACTTTCATTAACATACCCTCCGATTTGCTTGGTCATTGGAAGCGCCAGTTGGGAGGAGAAATATCTGAAGGTTTGAGAAAGGAAAGAACAAATGCAAAATATGACTACCTCCGTAATTTACATGATCCAACAAACATGAAAAAACTGGAAAATTTCATTGGAACATATATTGATCTTCCTGTCTTTGGAAAGGAAGATAGTGATTTATCTCCAAAAGACTTTGATCCAAATGATAAATTTCTTTTAACTCAGCAACGATTTGATATACTGAAAAAGGTTGTGAATGGAAGCACTGGATTGGTTTTATCAGGTCCTCATGGAATTTCAAAGTCATACACACTTTATCTAATAGCTGCCTATGCCTTTGTAAATTCCATTCCAGCACTCTATGTTCCAAAGTGTCGTTCCTGGCTCAGCACTTTCAACATAGATAAGGAAGTTGGTGCCAATAACTACTTGCGTAGATTGTTCTTTTCGCTGAATAGTGACATTCTTTCTACGACCCAAATTATGGAATTACAGAAATCAAGAAATGTGGTCGAACATTTGAGCACCCATATTGGAGATAAGGGATCTATGTTCTATTTGTTTGATGAACACAATGAATTATTCAGACCTGACTATTACAATAAGATTCCTGCTTCTTTTGCTTATTTTCAAGATTTTATCAGATGGACAGGAGTTACATCAGGGAATTACACAGTTACTATCTATTGTGGAAGTGCTCATAGCTCCTTCGAAGACCATTTACCAGGAGGAGAAAGAGGAAGGGTAGTTAGAATCACTCCTCCAACAATGACAGAATTTGAACAACTTGTTTCAGCTGTGGGTTTGAATCCAAAGGATAAAAGAATAGCTCATGTAACAGGAAGAATTCCAAGAGAGTTGAAATACTTGGCTGACCATTTGAAAGGTAAAAAGGGTACTGATGAAGATTTCAACCATTTTATCACAGTAAGGCAGGGAGAATATGCTTCTAGATTGCGCTCATTAGTTAACAAAATGGACAAAGAGGAGAATGATGAGTTTTTAAAAACACTTGAAGATCTTTTTACTCTGGGTCTTTTCGATGGAAGACCTTGCACTGTTTCAGGAAATGTTTACGATATGGGTTTACTATACAAGGATTCTGATCAAAACCTTTATATTATTAATGATCCAGCAAATAGATGCTTATTCCATCACTACTGCAGCAAAGTTGACATGCCACACATACCCAAGAATATTTCTGTTTCACAGAAAGGAGCACTGTTTGAAAAATACTTGTTAAGACGAGAGTATGGACTTTGTAAACATTTGGATGGAAAATTCTATGTAACAAACAAGTTGAGTACAACCACAACATCCACCTTATCATATGAAGTTAACGAACATGCAAGTTTGGATCTAAAGGATTTACATTCCCTCAATCGAAGAAACTATTTGCGGGGAACAGGAGTACCACTACCAGAGTAGTTTCTATCAGCCAGGCGAAAACTAGTGTACCGACAAGAAAAAAAAAATGCGACAACAACTGAAGATGAATCTACACAATATCAATCATTACATCAACACCACAAAACGCAAACAAATACGATAATAATGGATTTCATTGACTATATGGATTTTGAAGAAGAATCCAATGAACAACAAAACAGTGCTGAAGAAATGTTACTTCTAATGAGACAGCAGCGATATGGAAGAACAGATATCTCTTTGATGGATATTTTACACAATAACACACAAACAATATCCACCAACTTGAACCAATACAAAGAAAGAATAATCAACAATGACCAACAACAATATGAAGACAACGATGACATTGATGATTTGGATGAAGATGGTGATGTGTTAATGGCAGAGGCTAATACTTATCAACAATGGAGAATCATTGAAGAGAAGTATTGGGATAAATATATAGATATTTGTAAGGATGGATTTAAATCAGAATCCTATGACAAACAAAACTCTGTGGAAAAAGCAATCCTTTTTAGTGCCATCCAACATTTGGGAAGAGTTGCAAGACATAAGGTTTTCAATGCCATGAAACCTGGAAAAGCAAGAATTAGAAAAGATATATTCATTGGAGCAATGGAACCAAGATTGTTTGATTATTTTATGAAAGAAGCTGGTGGTGAGAGATCTTTCAGGAGATACACAAAAACACAAGAGGATGGATCAAAATTGCTGCAAGGTTGTGTTGTATATTCATTTGAAGGTGAGAAATATCCATATTTCGGAATCAGTGATAATTGGCGAATTAAGTATCATTATGAGGTAGAAGATGATGTTCAATTAATTGTTAGAAAAAGAGTATCTACAATGACTAGCTGTAAAGTTAAATGCAATGTTGTTTCGTGGGAGGTTAGAATGGATTTAACTTGGAAACGAGAGGTAATGGATGTTATTAACTATGATCAAGAAAATGAACAGTATGGAGAGCCAGAACTCTGTGATTAATTGGTAGTAATTAATAAAAAAATTAAAATCGGTTTAAAAAAAATGACAATCACTACAACCTTTATTAATTTGTTTCATCCATCAAAATCCAACATACCCAAACCTTTATTGGCGGGCCCCGTCATTAGTAGGCTTTTGGGTTGGAAAATGATGCATAAATAATTGGTAAAGGTTGTCACTAAATGGCAGGGAATGGCAAAGCAGGTTCTTCATGGATATGGATTATGTGATGACCATGATGCGGCGATTATTGTTCCTATTCATTGATGTTTGCTTGTGTGAACTTTGATGACATGTGTCTTTTGGTTCTTGGTTGCCCTGGGTAGACCATCACATCTATCGCAACCTAACACAAGTAAATGTGGTGGTGAAAATCTTTTTTCATTTAACCCTTCTACAAACAACAATATTTAAACCGGTTAGTTTTTATTTAAATTTTCAAATTTATTAATTAATAATTTGTAAATTAATGTTGGAAAATATAAAGGAATTTTGTTGTGAAAAAGTCCAAACAAATATGTTCTGTTGGTAACAAACACGGGTGCTGTTTAGTTGACATAAGTTGCCAAGAGTGGTTTATTGGGTGAGAATGTTGTTACTTATTCTAACAGCAATGCTGCATTGACTTTTACTGGTTGTGTTGTTATGGTTGTCGCAACTCTGTTCTTTTCTCTTTGGATGTATTAATGACAGGAGATGAGATTTTGTTCACCATTCAAACATGGGAAGAAAATCACTTGACCAACACTTTGAAATCAAGATTATCAACAAATGCGA